TTTGGCAAAGTAAATCCATTAGGTATCCTTGTTGGTCTTCAGACAACAATTCTGACGGCTAAAGAACCAAAACACATACAGCACCGTGACTGCCAATTTAACTTATAAGAACCAGAGAAAAGTGTGAATACAATCAAAAGGATTTAGCTGCTAGCAGGTTATGCAGTTCATTGTGTCTGTATCAGGTGTCTGTATCAAACTCACCTTCTAAATGACCAATAGGAATGCAGTATTTTTATCATTAATGGAAAAATTGCATTTTACTGTCTTTGATATTTCTTCAAAGTAGTTTATTCCCCAAAAAATTTCCAGCTTAACCACAACCTCTATGGATTCTTTGCTTGGATTCCCCCCCCCATCAGTAGCACTGACCTTACATGGAGGTTTAATAGATGCTTAATGCCTGTTTGATGAATCAAGGTTAATTCTACCCATCTGTCACCAATTAATTAAAATGGCATTATGTGAGAAAAAAAGTGTTGTGTGTCACAAGACTTTCTTCTCTCACTTTTAAGCTCTTGCCCTTTAAGTGCCGATTTAGTGGGATTTAGTTGTGTCACCTGGCTTCCACTTTCTCACATTCATGCATATTCATTCATTCAGTCATTTGATTTACAAGGATTAGTCTCTATAGGTCTCTAGCTCTGCTGTCTCTGGAGAACAAGGCGACAAGTTCAAGAAAAAGAAGTTTACTTTTTCTTGAAAAACAGCTGGAAAAAAGGCAAAGTTACCTTTAAAATTCAGTAACTTATAGTAAACGGCCAGCAGAGGGCGCTAGGACATAATTTCATTTGACGTCTGGAGGATTTAACTTAGTTTTTAACGCAGTAATTAATTATGTAATAGATTAGCGGCTACTACTAGTACTACAAAAGGATGGCTCTCTTTATTATTGATGCTTTAAATACTGAACATGATGTTCCTCTTACAGACTGCTCACTGGGCTTAACGTTAATTTCTCAGGACGCTCTTATCAGCTGTCGGTAGCTGATAAGAGCGCCCTGACAATTAACCCTCTATTCACTGTTTCTCACATCACGAAACCAAAAACTGATTTCCGGTATTTGTCATAAACAAAACAAAACAAAAAACGACAGAGTATATTTAAACTGGTGTAAATGACTTGATGGCTCACAATGTGTGAAACGTGTTAAATCTATTTATTAGGAATGATATGAGGCAGGGGCGATTCTAGGTTCAAACTTTTAGGGGGCCTCAGCTCCCACTCATAATGTCACGTTATTAATATTAATGTAATATGCTGTTTCCAAATGTAATCAGTCCTTTTCACATTTGCAAACCTCAATTCAATTCATTGACATTAAAAATGTTTTTTTTAAAGAGTCGTCTGGCCAAGAGGGCATCAGAGTTTGCAACAAATATAACATTGCTGTTCTATAATGTGACCAAAAAGGATTGGGCTGATTATAATGTAGGTGCAATAAGCCATACATTGTGTAAAATGACATGCCACTGTGCAACCATCAAAAACTATCTTGCAGGCAGGCAAAGGGGGCTCACTGAGCTCATCTTATAACAGACTCACAGAGGCTCTGGTTAGAAAACTCAAAGGGCTGATGAAAACGGAGGGCTGATGTGTGTGAATCCCAGCCATTTAATCAGCAGCATGAGCTGATCAGACCTGAAAAGTGTCTTTAATGTGGAGAAAAACAGCCCAGGGCTCATGGTCCAACAGAGCCACTGGATGATGAAATAAGAAATAAGCGGATATATGGCATGAGGGTTTTGAGTGGTCTGATGGTTTTCCAAACTGTATCAGTCATACTTTTAAGTGGGGTTTAATTCAATGCATGCTATTGCATGATATTTAACAGAACTTTTGTGCAAGTGGATCTATTCTATAGCCTACATCAAGTGTGTCAAACATAAGGCCCAGGGACCAAAATCCGCTCAGCAAAGACTGAAATCTGGCCCACTGGATGATTTTGGAAAGTGTGAAGGAGGGCACACGTTTTGGACTTTTAGGTAAGTTTTACAAGCCAAGCCATCCATACTACACCAGAGTAAATAAGCAATAAATAGACATGGGTTTTTAAAATGTTTACAATAGAAATTTCGTTTATTTTAACAAAGAGTCCACAGTAAGTTCCTTGAAATTTAGTTGCGAAGACTCGCGAAGACTGCGAAGATTTTTTTCATTTATTACATTAGCATTTCTTTATCATGTAGAAGACACCTGCTGCGAATATTATCAGTCAAATTCAATGACCGCTGAGAAGCGGGTGTAGAAGAACTGAGAAATACAGATGAAATCTCACCTTTTTCCCCCTTAAGATATCTCCGGCATTAAACGCATAATTGAACTTCTTCACACTGACAGAACGTGCAGTCTCGCTGGTTCGACCCACTTAAGATCAAAATGTAAATGTGAGTAAATGTGATCCAGATGTGATTAGCAGCTAATTACAGTTTTATTTCCACAGCAGACCCACCTTCGGTTTCCAAAGGTTTCTAAGGTTCATGTCCCCAGGGGAGGACCAACTTAGTCGTCGGCCTTCCTCCCAGCTCCTGGGTTGCGTCATGCTTGGGGACTTCACTCCAGTGAGGGACCTGCTTTGTGCTTTGTGGAGAGAGAGAGAGAGAGAGAGAGAGAGAGAGAGAGAGAGAGAGAGCGGCGTTCCCACCAACAGGACGGGATTCAAAAAAAGGGGGAAAAAAGCACAGCCAGCAGGCAACATCACCTGCAGAGCGAAACAGCGTTGGATTTCCCCGGTGGGAAACAGACATCCGTGTTGTTTTCCTGTATGTCAGAGGCTTACTGCGTGTAGAAGAATTCGCTCAAGTGTCTTTTCGGTGTTTTGTATCAGGAAAAAAAAGAGGCGCGCAGTTTTGTCCTTCTTGAGGACCCGGGACCTTGTTGACGCTCGGAGCGGGGACGATGGACCGCGTTTCCGCCGGGAATTTGCTCTTGGAGCCGGGCCGTGCGCACACATGGGGACTGTAGCGCTTCCAGCCCGGTTTGTTTAGCGGTTGAACCGTATTTACTGTGCCGGGAGAGGAGGTCAGGAAAGCCGCGATGCCCACCAGGAACAGGTACAACCTGGTGGATGATGTGGCGGACTCGAGGGTGCCGCTCCACAACGAGGAAGCTTACCAGCATGGGATATATTTCCAAGCAAAGGTGAAGTCCGGAGAGAGCCCGAACCTCCTTAATATGCAGTGTTTTCAGAGTTACATGAGCCTGCTGTGTGCTGCTGGAGCGGCAGGTGCACTGGGCTGAAGTTTGAACACATGGTAGCTTTGCCTGGAGGTCCTCAACCTCACACATTTATTTGTGCACGCATACATCTAAAGTCTAAAATGTTAAAGACGGGACTCAGAGCCGATGTGGGATGACTCAATCGTCTAAAAGCCGATAAAGATAGATGATCATTTTTGATGCTTTGAGTGCATTTGGGAGCTTTTCCCAACTTGCTGAATTATTAAGGTGATCGCGAAGAAACCAGACAGTATTCAGCTTTAATGATTGCTTTTATAGTGGAGATGCAGCCCGTGATTGCTTTCATCATTGGTTGCTTTTTTTTTTTTTAAGATTTTTTCCAATAATAGCAGTAATGGTTTGCAATAGATGCGAACAGATAATTAAAACAAAATCTGTTTCCTAGATGTGGAAGTGATGTTAGATCCCGCTGTTTTTGTCAGATCAACAGTGCAGGACTTCAAAAGTTTCCGTTTATGTGAAACAGGAAAAGAAGCTGAAAATAGCAAATATCTGGCACTTTGCACAAAGTCATATTGATGGACCAATCGCTGTGTGAGTCATAGGCACATGCGTCTTTAACTGTATTCTGAGTCTGTTTGTTGTTCCGTTTGATCAGCAAACCGAAAGGGTTAAAAAAAGGGAGTGTTTCTGGTCCAAAGTTCATTCACATGGGTGCTTGTATCTTGTATCTCACTGGGCCTGCTCAGCAGCAGGGTGATGTCACTGTTCCTTTCTTTCGCTGAGTGTCCCATAACTCCTCAGCACAAACCTGATATTTACTGTGAATATACAACACTTTTCAGTCAGATAAAAACAGTAAAATATAAAAGATGAATCCCTCCCCCCAAACAAAAACCAAACAAACAAACAAAAAGAAAAATATGCATGATGCATTTCTAAATTCAAACACCATGAGCTGCAGAATGCACACAAGACAATGAGTCATTAAATTAAAAAAAAGGAAAATCCTATTTACCAAGTAAGCAATAAATTAAGGCCAGTGTTGCTGAAGCTCTCAGACAGTTTACTGTAAAATGATAGAGACATCAAAGGCGTCATTGTCCCCAGAGCCCCTTAATTACACAGGCGCGTATTCAAATATATGCAAGCCACAAAGAGCTCATTAAAAAGGCATAGCTTTGCTTTGTTTGGGGTTTTTTTTTGTCATACATTAAACACATTTTGTCTTAGAGACACCCTGTTTGACACTTTGCAAAGAAAATCTGTGATTGGCTGTGTTAGCTGATCTGGGGCGAGCAGTATCACATGTTGGAGGCTCGGTGAAGACAGCTTTTTTCTTTTATTGAAGTGAACAGTCTAAGTGATCCCTAATTTTGGTGCCGTTTGATAACCCCCCCACCCCCCCACCCCCCTACTTGTCTTCGGGAGGCTGTTTATCTTCCAAGGATGAAAATGGAAAAAGAAATTGCACATTTAATCTTGTGAAGGCAGAATGGCTTTGGGAGTAGAAGCACGAGGGATTGGATACACTGATCTCAGTTTGTGGCTAAGGAATATTAATTGTGCAGCTGTTTTCCATGGGACAATACCTGACGCTGATGCTTTGTGTATGTGTGTTTGCATGTTTATTGCAGTACGTGGGTAGTCTTGACGTGCCCAGGCCCAACAGTCGGATGGAGATCGTGGCAGCCATGAGGAGAATCAGGGTAAGAGCCAAAGACAGTGTCATCCTATGTTTAAGCCTGGAAGCAAAGACACACACACACAGACTCACACACTCATCAGTGTGTGAGTCCAGCGGTGAGTGGGCCTTGATGGAGGACAGAAACTACCTTTACAATAATAGGAGAATCGCACACACAGTAGAAAAAAAAGAGCATGCTGTTGTCAGAAGGTATTTGTTCCGAGGAGGCAGTGACGCATGTGGTGCCTGGACAGCGTGTCACGGCTTCTGACGTGGGAAAACAATGCAAGGATGAAAAAGTAAAAGGGCTGAGGTGGATTGTGTGGCTCTCTTTGCTGTGTCTCTTTGCCTCTTTGAAAAATGGGGAGGAAACGTATACATGCATGTTGTGACTGCCTTTGAACAAACTCAGTCTGAGGCTTTTGATTTTTGCATTCTGTTGAGCGGATAGTTTTTGGGATTTTTTCCTCAAATCAGCTTTATAGTATAAGATGATGACCCCCCCCTCCGCCCCCCTCCTAGCTATAACATCATATCATTGTTACTATCATCTTTGCCCCAGAAGGCCGGCGGTTTCATCAGGAAGCTAACACAAAGCAAAATCAGACAGCCAGGCTGGTCCTGTAATCTAAGTGTGACTCACTAGATGTGCTTGGTTCAAACATGACAAAGCTCTTAGCTTTAGCAGAGTGTGTGTGAGCTACTAAAAAGTCATAATGTGTATTTACCCCCCTGAAAAATGCACAAGATTTAAGGACACTCATGCAAGCATCTCTTGGGGGTTCTATTTTTTACCCTTTTCGGGTAAATTTAAAACACTGCAATAGTGTGAACTTCAAATTTGTATAAACATTTGTACAACCGCATTTGTATAAACATAATGCAACCCTACATCTGGAAAAAGCAAGGTTGCTCTATAAACCTGTGAAAGCTGTTGGGGGTGAAGATAACACACCTCTAAATTTACCACAATTCCAGCAAACCTGTAAATCAATAAAGGTGTAGAGTAAACATGATCATAAGGGTGATACAGCACAGGCTGCAGGTACAGACAAGGAGGGAAGATGCTGCTGGTTGCTACAAGAAAAAGATCATCTTGTACATTTCAAAAATGTACAACACTTGCAACACAGTGAGATCTGTTTACTATGTATTTATGAAGCTCCCATATAAAAATACACAATTTGTCATTAGTGATTATTCATGTTCATGTCTAAGAGTGCGCTCTCATTCGGATGCATACATGTTGGGGTTGTGCATATCTGTATATTCACTTCCTTTCAGAGCCAAAGAAAGCTGCTAAAGCTGCAACTATTAGTGTATTTAAAAAAAAAATGACGTAATAGGAAATTATTAAAGCTCTGATTTGTGTCACACAGTCTCCTGATGACTGTAAATATGATAGTGTGGCTGTCAAACAATTTGGTATCATTTTTATAGATTTTTTCATGTGTTCACAACTACATGCATCAACATGCATGGAAGTGTACCCAGGCACAGGGAAAGCATGTAAACTCCCCACAGAGAGTGCCCAGCTGAACATGGGACCCTCATAGTGTGAGGCAACAGTGCTCACCACGTTACCACTGTACCACCCGATTTACCTGATGATTATTCTTTTGCACTTATTTCAATTCATTGCATAGAAAAAAAAAGTAATCAAAGATCAAAAATCCATTTTATAGAACAGTCCCACTTCAGCTCTTTTAGAACTTCGCTCTTCTCTGCAGATGGTTGACAGAACAACCGTAGAACAAGCAGGAATCACCCACAGACCAATCGTCAAACATAGTTTTGATGCCGCCTCCATCTGACAACAAACACTCTCTGCAGGTAGACAGGCTGTCCATGAGGTTGCCTTTGCACTAGCCCCATTCAGGCGTAAAACACACTTAAGACTGATACACATATTTGTTCCAAAATATGGGCCAATATTTTTTCTTTTAGACTCGTGAAGCATAAACATTTCTCTAGAATTTGTTATGTGTAGTTATTTTTGAGGCCTTGTTAATTCAATTCAATTCAGTTTTATTTATACAGCGCCAAATCACAACAACAGTTGCCTCAACATGCTTTATATTGTAAGGTAGTAATCATACATATGGAAAAACCCAACAATCATATGACCCTCTATGAGCAAGCACCTTGGCGACAGTGGGAAGGAAAAACTCCCTTTTAACAGGAAGAAACCTCCAGCAGAACCAGGCTCAGGAAAGGGCGGGGCCATTTGCCGCGACCCGTTGGGGTGAGAGAAGGAAACCAGGATAAAAGGCATGCTGTGGAAGAGAGCCAGAGATTAATAACAAATATGATTCAGTGCAGAAAGGTCTATTAACACACAGTGAGTGAGAAAGGTGACTGAAGAAGAAATACTTAGGACAATATAAGAATGCAGTTTAAAAATAATCTTGCTTTATTGTCACAAGACATGGATTATCTGTTTAAACTGCCCAGCTGCTATGTTGCCAGCAGTGGAGAAACTATGCAACATCACCACTTCTTAACTTTAGAAATTTGCATGCAAAGGCTGTTATAGATGCCAATACTGATATATTGCCAAATAGCTAATATCAGCCAATATATCAGCCCTAAAGATATATCAGTCGGGCTCTAAGCTATTCCAGCATCCACAACAGTTGTAGAGGAACCGAGTTGTGTGACGTACACATGGTTGCCTACTCACCAGACCTTCTAGAGAAAGCTACCATTTTTAATCAAACTTGTTTCCTTTATGTAGATTTTGTCAGCAAAAACTAAACAGCAACCTAAAAGAATAAAGTCAACACAGATGTGCCAAATACTCCTGGAGTTTATGTTTTAGGTCTGTTTTCCAAGTGAAATGTAATTAGCGTTGTATAGATGTATTTTGAGTAGCCTTCCTTATTTTCACTTCATCCTTTTTTACAAAAGCAAAGAGGCTCGTCTTTGATTTAATGCGCGACCGTTTGGCTGAGGCACTGAGCAGAGACTCCGCGGTGCGAAGCAAGATTAAAGAGAGTGAGGAATAAACTGATGGCAGCGAGAGAAAGACTTGGGAGAAGGAAGTCCTGGAATCTAGCAGGGTTGTGCGGTAGCTGGCAGAGCCGTAGTTGTTTCATATCCCTCGGCTAATCTCTTTGGTCTCAGTGGATGTGAGAAAGCAGGCGCAAACATGAGAAGGGAGAGAGGAAGGGCAGACAGCACAGACCATCATCTTTGTATAAACAGTGGATCTGGGTTTGACAGAACGCAGGAGTCGTGCTAGTTTTTGGGTGGTTTTTTTTCTTGTTTTTTCACACACCTGCCATTCCCACGGAGAGAAAGTGAATAGACACAATTTTGTATCCTGTGGATCTTTTCAGAGTCGCTTTTTTTGTTAGACGTCCTCCCATTATGGCTGACTGGTCATACTGTGTTGGTTTTGTCTGAATTTGCTTCATTCAGTGTGACCAGTGACATAGAAAGTTTGCGAGTCTGTGTGTGTGAGGTTGAGTGCTCTATAATAGTGAGACCTCTTGTATTCTAACAACCTCCACAATCGATTAACGAGGCAGAATAACAAAGGCTGGTGTTGCTGCATCCACACGGAAAGATTTGCGGTCTTCCACGGCTCACTGCCTCAGAAAAAGGGCGTGTGCATGTAATGGAATTTCTTTGGGAGACAAACGTGTGCTATTTACAGGAGGCCACAGACTCTCTACAAAGAAAAACAAGTTTGAGGCTATTCTCTCTCATTTTCCCCCGACCCGCCTCACCCCCCTCTCCACTGCTGTTTTCTTTCCATACCCTCACTCTTCCCCTACCAAAATAGACTGCCTCGATTTAGCCCATCTCTGGCTATCTACTCAGTGCTGACAGGAATAGATTTTAGGCTGAGGGCAGGCTACGCATGCTTCTCTTTGAATTTTGATCGGCCCTAATGGGATTTTAAGCCTCCCGCACGTGTCTTTCAGGATGCATCTTCCTTTCCCAACAGTCAGGTTTTTACATCCTTTCTTTCTTTCTGCATTTGTCTCTGCGTCTGTCTGGATCATCTCATGAGAAGAGCCCCTGTCTGCCATGCGAGAAGGAAGGATACTTTTTTTTCCCCACGTTCCTGCTGTTTTAGTTTGGCTTCGCTGATTCTGTTAGTCTTCTGAGAGCTTGCAGAACTGTCATGATTGTGTCAGATGCAGATATTGGGCTGTCGAGGGGGATGAACCTGTCATGGGGTACAGCAGAACTTTTTACATGAGTTAGTTTTACTTTGTTGAGTTTTGTTTATCATGCGTATTTTATAGTCAGACATAACTCCGACTGTAGGTAGAACAACTGTTTTGTTTTGGTTTTTGACATGACAGTAGCTGATTGTTGAATAAGTAAATATTGGTGTGTAGTACTGGCATTACTTCTTCCAGTTTCTCCCAGCAGCCCAGGATTTTGTCAACAATTATCAAGCTGCAACTTCAGGGTTTAACAAAAGGACACCCCAAAAACCGCAATACCTCTAAACACCACGTGAGGCTGGTTTCAAATATGACTCAAATCCTACAGACTTCCATTCAGCTCATTTACACCTTCATAACAAAAGCATGTACTTAACATAGATACTGCAGGTCCATGGCCACTAACTGAGATCTGTCTATGCTACACCTGCACAAGTCTGAGCAGTTTAACTGGAAGTCTACAAGGGTTTTTTTTGTGTTTTGTACCTTTTTGAAACATTTCCAAGACAATATTATAACAAGCAATATAAACTGATCTGCAGTTGATTGCACAAAAGGACAGTGGCGAAAGTTATCTAGGATGAATTAGCATTTGTTCTAGAATTTGTGATATTTTGTATGATAGCAAGAAAAAGCTAGCTAGTATTTGTCAACTATCAGCTTCGCTCAAATGATTTCTTTGGAGCCCTTTGAAGACACTGATACTTCAACACACCAGACCCAGGAGATCTGGCTATCTTTTATATACAGTCTATGTCAAAAACCATCAAGTCACCAGACAAATTGAAGGAATCTGCAGTTGAAAGCACGTGCGTTTGTTTTTAACCATCTTCTTTAA